AAGCGTTAAATGCTATTTAAATACCATTATAATGTGTGTAAATCAATATTTTAGAATAATGGTTGGAATGAGTTGTGCAATTGGTGGGATGATACAACTAAAGATGCGGCGGTGCATCTTAACCCTTACGTGCCTCACACTTCCTTCTCCTTTGTCTTCTTACGCTAAGTATCTCTCTCTCTCTCTCTCTCTCTCTCTCTTTGCTAACTTACAATTTTTTTTCTACTATCTTCTACACTGAACCTGCTTACGTCATATTTATCAGTTTCTTTTTCTTTCATTATTTCTTTCTTAATTTTTGTTGTTTGCATTTCAAAAGACCTAGACAAAATGTAAGTTCAAACATGCATCTACGTAAAATGATAACAAACAAACAAAAAATTCTTTATTGAAAAACTACGCAAGTGGTGTCTCACATTACGTGCAGGCATAACAAATTTTATAAAATCGTTTTTTTTTTCCGACCAATTTTATAAAATCGTTTAAGTTCGATATTGTGAGATTTGTTTTTTTTTTTTAAACTGGAAAATTCCAAACTAAAAATCTCTGATTAATACATCGAAATTCATATACCTACAGACTTTCTTTCCATTGAAAGCGTCTACAGGTGGCACCGATAACTAAACCAGTGTGGAAAATTTTGAACTATACCAAAAGTAAAACGTTAAAAATGAATCCTTTCAACCACTGAACTACCACCATTTAGTTAAATTTGATATTGTGACTTAGAAATTAGTATAAGTCATTTTATATTGGGTCATAAATTTGTTTAATAAATGGAGTATTGCTTTCATCCATCTCTTTCTAGATACTGCATGATAGACCATTTAGTAAACAGTTAAGAATCGCTTTGCGACCAAAGAGGCAAAGATCGTCTAATATGATGGATCCTAACTTCTAATCCTTTTTTGCTTACTTTGTGATGTGGAACCTAAAATCTCCAATCAAAACATATTTATGCGTACCGTTGGTGCAAGTATACAAATTTTCTTCTTGTAGCATGCAGGCATCACGAATCAAATGTCCTTTAGGATTTCATATTTATCGTGGTTCCCTAATGATGTGGCTTTTTACATAAACGTTTTTTTTTCTAAATCTTTTCATGTAAACTGAATTTTAGCCTCTACATCTTTTTTCTAATAGGTAACACATCGTGACATTGTTCAAGCTATTCAACATATATAAGCTCTAGTAATTATTAAATTAAGAGGAATCTAAACAAATAGCATAATAACTTCATTAATAAAAAAAAAAAACAAAAAGGATAATAGATTATGTTTAGGAAATATGACGCGGTGAGTAAAAAATTATTAGCTTTTAGCCACACATCTGCTGGTGTCGTTGCTTTACGCAACATCATGCATCTCTTCCTCTATTGTTTACTATTTTTTATACATAAGACTTTTTCTTATTTATGATTAGCAACCAAATGATTTGCATTATTTCCTCATTATGTATCTAAAAATTTATTTATGAATATATTTATATACATATGTGTGTGTATAGTCGTGAATGTAAAATTGATATAGTTAGTTTTGTTAGGACCACTAAATATTATTGATTTGTAAATGAATATACATGTGTGAGTGTATCTATTAAATTGTTCTGTAAAGGATGTGAGGGCCACTTTAAGTACAAGACAATAGGATTTGGAATAGCCCAACGTGATTAAGAGTAACTTCTTCCAATCATTTCATCGTATTATTGAATTATTGTGCCTAATCAAATCTTTAATAATAAAAATAACTAGGTCTTTATTTAATTATGGTAGCATTTATTTGGTACTTACTAATAGGCAATAGCTTTTCCTAACAAGATTAAAAAATTAATATTTGCGGCTATAAAAAGAGTGGGAAAACAAAATATAGTATAATGAAAAACCGTAATCATTTGATTGGCATATTCCTGTGGCAAGTGGTAAACACACTAGTTACATACACATTCATCGATACAGAAACAAACATGAGTATGTATTGCGCCATATTGGCATAAATATTTATATAGCAGCAGCAATCCCAATGTAAAGTCAAAATGTTGCACGAAATTAGCAAAATATTCCGGTGAAGAAAAGAAATGATGGGTTTTGTGTTTGTAACTTGCATCCCCACACATAAGGTTTCCTTAGCTCCAAAATTATGTTATATACATCCACTTGAGATTTATACTTTTTATCTATATCTATTAAGAGGTTTTTAGAACTAAAATTTGTCTTATTTGTGAAAACATGTACCATATTCTGATGATAGAAAATACTAATTATTGGTATTTAACTATGTATATATTTGTCGTATACAATTTATATAACCTTCTTAATCTGAAACCAGGTTATGACATGACGCTGATGATCCTTATATTTTGAAAATATGAAAAGATTAATTAGTGTTTTTTTTTTTTTGCTAGGGATATTGTGGGATAGTAGTACTACTAGTTTAGCCAGTATGCCTTCTACCTTAGTTATATATAAGGGAAAACTTTAATATTTAATGTGAGACTTAAGATGTACACAAGAACGTTTTTTCGAGTAATTTCAGTCTGTGATAATGAAAACGTTGTATTTTGATAATATGAAAAACTCGTTTCATTTTTATTTTTAATTTGTTAAATTGTTCCATCGAATAAAGAATGTTTAGCCCTTTTTTATAGCTGTTATAAAAGTAAAACATATAGTTTTTTTTTTAGTTAAAAACATATAGTTTTCCCTGATACTATGAAGTTTTATACAGTTTTAACGTGACTATTTTTGTACCATTAGATTATTCTATGTGGACATTTAATTTATGGAATGAATGTAGATTTCTTTCATACAAGCATGTGGTGTATATTGAAGTTTTTTTTTACTATTATTTAGTGTTTAAATATTAGTATATTCATGAACTAATTCTAAAATTACTATAGATTGATAGGTTCATTTACAAATAAAAAAATATGTGACATTTTCACACTATTTTAATATTTTTACGTGTATCCTTTTGTTATTTTCTAACAGCAACTTCAGAAATAGTGTTTTACCTAAATAAATTTTTATAATGCCATTTACCTAAATCAAAAATAAGTCATTTTAACTTAGTTATATATATATATATATATTTTTTTTTTTTTTTCATTCTAACTTCCTCCTATGTACCTCGCACATGTTATTCACGAAGAAATAAGCAATTTCATCATCTCAGTTTATCATGAATCGGACGAGAACAACATTGACTTCCTAACGCTCTAGAATGCAAGCTGCCCTCATTTGACTTGATCGGCTCATCTTTTGGAAAAATTGTGCTCTGTTTTTTTTTTTACGCCAATAGTGCTCTGTTGTTAGTTTAAAGTTTTTTCCCAAATTTTGTAAGCATTTTTATCCAAATTTTTCTTATGTTGATTAATAATACTCAAATTTCAACCAAAAAAAAAAATACTTTTTATAGAATAGCAAATATTACAACACTAGACACAATACTGACCCTCTTCAACACTAGACCGATAAAGAATTTAATGTCTTTGATAACTAGATAGATTTTAGACTAAAATTCAGATTAATTTTTGAAAGCCTATAGAAATTAGAGTATTTATTCCATTTAAAAACTATAATTATTAGTTGATCGCCAATAGTGTAAATCGTAGAATTCAAACTCTAACCTAGACACACAAAAGAATCCTTCATCACTCTAAGTCTCTAAGTCGGCCACTAAACCAACATTACTTTGTTAGTTTGTTTAGATTCAATTATTTGCTGTTAAAAACCAATAATATTAACCAAGTCTGTTTAATAGTACATGCATTCTAAACTTCTAAGTAGTTTATCTCAATAAGCCCATTTTACCGGCAGCTGTTTGATGTCTTAAGATACCCAGTTGATCACTAGCTTTCAACTCTGTACATATAAATACTAATTTAGTCATTATTAAAATAAGAAAGCCAAAAAAAGTCGTGGTGTTGTCTCTTCACAATAACAAAGACTATGCTTACAATTTTTTTTAGCCTAACATGCCACCGATGAATGCACCTAATCCTATAAACACCGGCCAGTGCATGTCGCCTCCTATAATTATGATCCCATGTATGACTATGAATCATTATGTTCTTGATAATCTTATATATAAACAACTAATCAAATATTTGTATGTAGTCGTCACAACGATTAACAATAAGTTGTATATTCTTATTATTTTGCTGTCGTGAACATTTTCGTGTTTAGTTCTATCCATTTCGGTTTTCATTGAGAGCGACGATTTTAATGACGTGGACCTAAAGTGCGTGAAAGTAAAACCTTTGCTTGCTTGTTGATAGAACTGAATGTTCACACTCCAAAAAATACAAAAAGATTATTAAAAAAAAAACGTGAATTGGTGGCCTAAGTGCCACTCAACACTACTAATGAACCTTTGCCTAATTCAGTGGTTAACCCTTCACGGGCTTCACTTTCCTACTTTTTTTTTTCTTGAATAAAATTATATCATTCACTATTCGACATAGTAGTAATAATTCTCTGTTAGTTATTCAAATATGAATGATTCAAGATCTAAGAATTTGATTAATCAGACCAAAAAATATATTTATATGTTTGTTATTAGAAAGTATGTACTAGAAGAAGCTGTCTAATTTAATACTAATAAAAATAAACGTCATGAAAGGGTTGACTTCTGGTACATAGATCTAGGTAAAGATCAGATTTCGAAGATACGGATTAAAAGTAGATACAACAGAACATAAACTAGAAAGAAAGAAGACATAGATTGTTTTTATTTTCCCCTTCATCTTTTAATAATTTGTTTGTTGATTTTCATGATTTTTGTTAGAATTTGGCAGAGAAATGCAGAAGTGTCAGGTAATGGGTATGTAGAGTGAACCGTCAAAATGTTATTGGTTAATTGGAAATATTTATAATACTAATATAATGTAAAGTGGATCGATATGTGTAAAATCTTTTGTGGAGTAAACTAAAAAGATTAACAACCACCAACCTTATAACCTCTCCCTTTGTATATATGTACATATATAAATAAGCAGCCCCACCATCGTCTTCCTCACTGCCTCTCTTCTCTCTCTCTCTTCTCTTCTCTCTTGTTAGTTCACTCCACATAATAAACACCAAAAATCTCATTCTTTCATTACAATTTCGAAGTTTCTTGTATTGGGTTTGTTTCTTGATTGACTTTCTTGAATTGGGTTGTTCTTGTTTTTTAATTAACTATTTTTTAGTGTTGATAATCATGATGGGTCAAGATCATGAGGTTGGGAGTGATCAGACGCAAATCATAAAGAGGAAGCGTACGAAGCGACAGAGATCATCTTCGTCGACGTTTTTACTGGCAGCGGCGACCACCGTCACATCCACAAGTTCATCCGCCGGCGGTGGCGGCGAAGGAAGAGCAGTTTCCGATGAATACAACTCATCGGCTATTTCATCTCCGGTAACCGCAACTGATTGTACAGTGGAAGAAGAAGACACGGCGATTTGTCTCATCATGTTGGCGCGTGGAGCTGTTCCATCGCCGGATCTCAAGATTTCGAGAAAGGCTGAGAAAATTCTTCATCAGAAGATTTCATCGTCGACGGAGAATTCGAGTTTCTATGTGTACGAGTGTAAAACATGTAACCGGACTTTCCCGTCGTTCCAAGCCCTCGGTGGACACAGGGCGAGCCACAAGAAGCCGAGGACGTCTATGGAAGAAAAGACTAAACTACCCCTGATGCAACCCAAGTCTAGTGGGTCAGAAGAAGGGCAAAACAGTCATTTCAAAGTTTCCGGCTCAGCCCTAGCTTCACAGGCAAGTAACAACAACGTCATCATCAACAAGGCAAACAAAGTACACGAGTGTTCGATCTGCGGCTCCGAGTTTGCCTCCGGGCAAGCTCTCGGTGGCCACATGAGGCGGCACAGGACAGCCACCACTGCAGTTAGCCCGGCCGCTACTACCGTGGAAGTTAGCAGAAACAGTACAGAGGAGGAGATGGAGAATTTGAGCCGTTCGATGGAAAAAAGGAAATATCTACCGTTGGATCTTAATCTTCCGGCACCAGAAGATGATCTAAGAGAGTCAAAGTTTCAAGGGATAATATTCTCAGCTACACCAGCGTTAATAGATTGCCATTACTAGTTGTTTAAAACAAAATTAAATATGTTTGATTACATAGTATGAAAAATTTGTGAATTCTTCTTATTCTGTTACTATATTGTTGAATTGGGATTATTTTTTAGCAACTGAAATCATTTAAAAATAAAGAGGAAAATGAAATGTACAAGTTATAATGAAAGAGTTGGGGAATATAGTGGGAGTTAAGTAAAGGGTTGTGTGATAGTTAGATGATCTACTTGTTGAAGTAAGAATAGTTTGAGTAAGCAAGTGGTTAGTGTTCATGGTTGCCTTTCATTCACGAAAAGCAAGTGACTTCCAAGGCATCTTTTCTTTCCCTCTTTTTAAGGTATATTTTTATTTATTTAACAAATTTACAAATTATGAGTTTTTTTTTTAACATGTGAACCAACCATTGTATTGCTTTTAGACGACTCTTTTCCCACGATTACGCAGCCAAACGCTATACTGTGGTATTCTACTACTACTTCAAACAAACTATGTCATCATAATGAACATAAATAACTAGAGAAATAGAGACGGAAAACATTTTAAAATATCTACTAGCTACTTTGAACGTTTTAAGTGACAAAAAAAAACTAACTTTTTATGGATTCCAAATTTTTTTGTTTGAGATTCGACTTAGAATTTATACGACTTTAAAAACAAAAATCTTACTAAAATAACTAAATTTTTTTGGTTGATAATAAGTATTTGTTTGTTTTGTATCTTATAATGTCTCTTTTATGACTTCATGATATAAAAAATAATGTTATTTTCCCATCATTCTCATTTCATAGCCAACATGTTGTAAATACTAATATATAGATTAATTTGCGATCGAATTCCTGTTTTTATATTAGACACTTTTAACGTTTTAACTATCATCAGAGTTTTTAGACATTCCAAAATTAGCTTGAGATTCGAGTTATGATTTACTCGGTCACGATGACCATGTTATAAAAAATTTATTTTCTTTATAACATAATAAATAATAACGTCTCATTTATGACATACTATAAGGACCAAAACTATTTTTCCCATCATTCCCATTTCATAATCAACATTTTTTAAATACGCTTGCAGATGAAACCGCGTTCAAATACATATTCAAAAATGGTATAAATTACTAGAGAAACGTTTATATATAAATGTAAAATTAATATGTATAGAAAAGGCAGGGGACACGAGATGGACGTGGTGACCGGCGTAAGGTTTGGCAGGAGAATCACCACCACAACTAATAGACGTGGATTAGGTTCTTCTTTGGTTTTGAGTTGTTTTTGCTGCTCACCACATTTTACACTTTTATATGTGAATTATTTTAATCAATTATAACGGATTTACAATTATTATAACGGAACAAAGAAAAAAAATACTTAAAGAAAGGAAAAGGATAAACAGTGACAGCAGAAACAGTCACAAGATTCACTCACCGCTTCACTCCTTGCTTCCAATGCTTCTCCTTATAAAAATTATTCTTTGCAGTTGCATCCATGATCCAACTTTTATGAAAATAAATTTATGAACTATGCTTGTTCTCTCATGATCTTAATTTCTCAAATCAAGTTTATTTTGCTTGGAAATTGTTTTATAGATTAGTGAGAAAACTATAGAACAACAATGACTAAGGTTGTCGTTCACTCTCATTCTCTAAATCACTAATATTTCATATATGTATATATATAAGCAACACAGACACATGTCACTAATTAAAGATAGTACACGAGTCAAAATCTTAATCAACATCGTTTGGTAACACATACTAATTGATTAGATATGATTGGATTTGAATTTAAAAAAAAATCGAACCCAATGAAATAATTTTAGAGTAAATAATATTTTAAAAAGAGTTTCAATGGTTTCTTTTCCGGTTCAGATTCAGATTCGATTATTCGGATGTAAAAATCTCCATTTAAACTGTATCTATTTTAATTAAAAAAATGAAATAACAATACTATAGCTAGCAGTATTTTAACAAATTATTTTCCATATCGCTACGCATTTTATTCACCTTTTCGTATAAATTTTGGAAATTTCGGACCTTCGACTTATGCCCTCTTACAGTGTCTGGGCAAGCTGTTGACAATTCCACTTTTAAAATCTAAATCACATTTTCCAAATAAAATTGAACTAATAATCACAGATTCTTTAATACCATTAAATCACCACCCATTTAGTCTGCTTATATGATGTTGCTTGTTTTATTTGCCAGAATTCTTAGTTTGTTCTTATATGGCTTCACTCGAAACCTATGTATATGGATTCAATGATATTCTGGCCCATTATTGACCCTTATTAATTCTTTCTTTCTTCAATAGGGTTTCATACATTTTATATTTTCGCTGTTTCTGTTTCGAAACTCAAACATATATGGATCAATCTAAAATTTTCACTTTATCATAAAGTCAATTATTTCTTATTGAATACTAGTTAATAAGATTATAAGATATAGTAATCTCTTCCCATTCATCATGCGATAACAACTGTTTCCTCTCTTGATACACCCACCAGTCGACCGGTCATACTTTTCTTTTCTTTTGATTATAGTTATCACTCCTCAAATAATAATAGATCCATGATTTTGGAATTTCAATTTAGAATTTTGTTTCTCTTTCTCTCTTTTCTAGAGAGTCTCTTTGCAACCATAATCCAACAAAGACTTCAGAGTATTTGTATTGGCTTAAATTCATTTAGAAATACTACGATTAGTTTTCGTCGTTTCATCTTTGAAATGTGCCGAGTTCATCACCAAAGATTCCATAACTCTGATTTGAATCTCTCCAGATTGAGAAAGACATTTCAAGCATGGATCTGGGATCCTGGGGCAAACTTTTCCAGCATAAAAGATGGTCCGATGAAAAGAAAACGTTTATAGTCAACAGAATGAGAGAAGAGAAGATATTTTGTCTATTTGCCAACCACAGAATTCCGATGAGCCAGATTTTCTGTTTTTTCTCTTGATCTTACACAATCAATGCATTCTCCAAAAGGAACACAAGGAGTCTTTGCCGGAATCATCATCAAATATTTTGATTTTAACGAGAGACAAGGTTCAGATTCATCAACAATGATATTTCATTTAATTTTAATAGTGAATGTAATGACAAGGTTCAGATTCATCAACAACGATATTTAATTTAATTTTAATAGTGAATGTAATGCTAAATGCATTTTGGAGTTTCATCAGCAAGATGAAAGCCAATGAAAAGTGTATGAAGGGGAGACATAACATATTTCATATGTTCTCTTATAAGACTTCGGAAAGGATAAACATGATTACTCTCTGCTCAATTACTCATTCATTGAAATTATTTCAGTTTCCTTTATTTGCGTTAACGATTGTATTAGGAATGTTTCTGTATCTTGTAAACTTCTTATGATATTAATATATGTGATTCGTCGAAAAATATATAATAGGATATAGTAATTAATTATGGTGATGGACCAGGTTGCTTTCAGTTCTAAGCCAAATATAAAAACATAAGACCATTGATATTTTATTAATAATTTTTAATTGGTTTTACATCTTTTTTTTTGTTTTAACTGCACTCTTACATCAATTATTTTTTTCTAGAAACTGGGACGCACAGCGGTGGAGGCCTAAGGACGCGCGGCGGTGGAGGCCGAGCTCGGACGCACGACGGTGGAGGACAAAATGGGATTGGGAAGTGCCTTGGTGTTAGAAGTGGCGGAGGCGGTGGTGGTGGTTTCATCACAAGCGGTGGAAGAATTGGTACTGCTGGAATTGGAATCTCGACATCAGGGGGGCCTCCCCCACCATGGGATAGCGGTTTGGGTAGTTTAGGGGGGTTTGGAACAGGGGTAATGGGTGGTTTAGGGGTTAGGCATAATCAATATACGAGTTGGTAAATTGTTTGGGTTTGATTTGGTCTTAATTCTTTAGTCGTTTGCTGAATAAGCTTCTAAGAATCAGGAGTCAACTAGTTATCCTAGTATTTCATTAGTTTTAGTTTGTTTCCGTTGATTTCTCTTTCAAGTTGTTTTAGAAGACTATGTCTTCATCTCTAGGCTATTTAAAGCACAAGTAGCTCTGATCAATAAAACCTTCAAAGTATTCAGCTTCTGTTTAAGTGTTTAATTGAGAACAACAAATTTGGTATCAGAGCCTTAAATCAAGAGTGAGAGAAACACAAGAGAGAAAAAGAGAAATGGCAGAGTCAAACAACTTTGCGCAGCCAAGCATCCCTAAGTTCGATGGGGATTATGATCATTGGAGCCTCTTTATGGAAAATCTGCTCAAATCAAAAGAGCATTGGAGCGTGGTAAAAGAAGATTTCATTGAAGCAACAAGTGAAGAAGCACTGACTGAAGTGGAGAAGAAGACATTGAATGAGGCGAGATTGAAAGATCTTAAAGCTAAGATTTATTTATTCAGTGCAATCGATAAACCATTCTCAAAACAATTACACTGAAAGATACTTCTAAGCATCTGTGAGATTTGATGCAGATCAAGTATCAGGGAAATTCACGAGTGAAGTGTGTTCAACTACAGACATTGAGAAGTAGTTTTGAGCTGTTGGAGATGAATAACCGGCAAATCCGTTAAGGATTACTTTGTGAGAGTGATTTTGGTAGCCAACGATATGACAAACTGTGTGTATACTTTGGAGATGACATGCACGATGTCAAAACTGTGGAGAAGATTCTGCATACTTTAAACGAAAGTTTCAATTATATTGTGTGCTCAATTGAAGAATCTAATGACATCGACAGACTTTCTGTTGATGCCCGCATATCTCGTTACTGGTACATGAACCGAAGATGAGAAAACCAAAATCTGGTGTAGAATAACAAGCGTTGAAAGTCACTCATGATGGAGGAAATGGACGAGGCAAAGGAAGAATGGGTCATGGAAGAGGACGAGGCAGAGAAAGAGCATTTAACAGATCCACTGTTGAATGTTTTAAGTGTCATAAACTTGGACACTTTCAATACGAATGTCCAAGCTGGGATGGAAAAGCCAATTATGCTAAAGTATATGGCTAAGAAGATGAGCTATTTATGATGGCCTTTACCGACGACGTTCATGACACACTGTTGATGGCTCTCATAGGGAACGAGAA